ACACCAGGCCTGGTCTTCCTGACAGTGATAGACTTCCCTGAGAGGAATAGTGACCTTATAGTAATGGGGGACTTTGACATTCATGGGGGTTCTGTCAGCAATGGGGACATTATTAGGTATTGAGATGTCCTGTCAGTAGGTGTTCTTGGATTGATGGAAGGCTTTTAAAGTGTTGGGCCCCTGGAAGGAAGGGGTGGTTTCTTCTTGGAGGATGCTCCTTGAAATGATGATCTGACGGGTATGAGATCAGCAAGATGATTGAGGTTTTGATGGTGATGGGTCCAGATTTCCAGGGACTGTGATTCTGAGAACCAGAGCCCTGGGGGATCCGGTTGTCCTGGTAGGGCATTGTGGAAACTGCTGGGGTTCAAACCATCCCACTTCTGCTGTGTTGGAGCCCAGGAAATCTCACATCTTGTGCCTCCCCACAGGAGCCATGGAAGACTAGAAGGTCCTAGGAACAGGAGTAGGGCCTCCTCCCCTGTCCTGCCTGATCCTGGCCCCTCAGAAGATGGACATGGCCCTTAGATACCAGTCCTTCTGGAATCTGATCCCACCCCTGTGGTCCCCAGATGCTCTGCTCTGTGGAGGTTCCCTCCAGAACCTGGCTGGCTCAGAAGCCTGGCCCCGCCCCTTCCAGGAGCCTTGCCCACAGCACCCCAATGTCTGGCCCCTACTTTTTGGGATCCCAGGTCCTACCCTTCTATTCCTCTTTTCCTTTTAACGTCACCTGGTCTTGGCCTCTGATACTCCCCTGGGAATGGAGTTAAGAATGTGGGCATATTTGTAGCCTGATCCCCATCTCCACTGCTCCACTTTGGGAAAACTGAGGCTTGAATAGACCTGGAGAGCTGTGCTTATTACCTCCTGGAAGCTTTGGGGAAGCTAACTTCCCCTTAGCTGGAGAGCCCAGGAGGCTAGAAGCCCTCCAGGCGGCATCTCTGTGTCTGGGCTCAAGCACTAATGTCCTGTCTGAGCCTCCAGCTTCTCCTCTGTTTTTTTACTAGCTTTTCCTAGCAAGCCAAGCCTTTCTATCCCAACTGAACATCTCAGCCCTCAGCCCTCAGCCCAAGTGCTACCCCTCAAGCAGTCTTGGGGTGCAATCTCAGCTCTGCCACTCACTAGTTGAGTGAACTTGGTAGTTTACACTACCTCTCTGGGCCTCAATTTCTTCATATATAAAATGGGACTAGTGATCTCCATCTCATAGGGTTGCTAGAGAATGCAATGATATAATGCACATAAAGGACTCAGCTTGGAGCCTGGCATGTGATTAGCACCCCAAAGTAATGACTTTCCCTGTTCCAGACCTGGCCTTGCTGTATTGTTTCCCACTTTTATTTAGGAAATGGGTCAACTCAGAGAGGTGGTATGTGTTGTAGCTAAGAGTACAGATTCTGGAGCCAAACTGCCCAGCTAAGACCCCCCCCCCCCCCAACACTTCACTATCTGTCCAGCCTGGGCAAGCTACTTAACTTCTGCACCTCAGTTTCCTCAGCTGTAACGTAAGAATGATACTAGTACTTAAAGCAGTGCCCAGCACTAGTGGTGAAATAGCTGGTATTACAGAGCCATGTCCTTCCATGTGGACAAGTCTCAGGGACCACTGAGGACGTTCTCTGATCAGAGAAATGCTGGCTTATTCTTACAGAGGGGTTCTTAGAGGAAATTCCCCCACTTGGGAGTCCTGCTCCTTTGTGAGACTGTGATTTCCAAGATTTTCTGGCTGGTTCAAAGTTTCCCGGAGACCAGAAAAGGGGGGGGGGGGGGGGGGGGGGGGCTTACCAAGAAATTGAACATGAGCTGATGAAAGTATGATCAAAACCGTATGGGGCTGGCTCTTACCAAACACTTACCCATGCAACAGAGACAACCCCCATGTCTTGAGAACTGGATGTGCTCCAGGTATGAGTGGGATGGGGTATTGTGGGAAAGGGCCATTTTCAGTTACATTTTTTGTTAATCAAAAGAGTACTGAGCCTTGTTCTGTGCCAGCCCCTGAGCAGAACAATATTGACAGTTGAGATCAACAGGTCCAATCCCTTTCCCTGGGAACTCTATCAATAGACAGGACAGAGAGCTTTTTGTCCATCATGTAGATGGGAGCTGGGGAGCTCTCTGAGAAGGGATGTCAGGTCCCTTTAGGGAGATGTTGTTTGCTAGGGCCATAGGCCTTCAGGATAGGGGGCTTTCACTCAGCTGCTGACCTTAAACCTGTAGCAGGTGCCATGGGTCCTAGACAGGAGGGTGTCTACCTAGAGCCAGGCAGTAAGGCCCCTGTCTTCTGGTTGAGGAGCTGGAAGTCCATACTATCCCTTGGAGAAGCTAGAAGCCTCATCATTGTCAGGTAGGCTTCTGGCCTGCCATAACTTGGCAAAATGACATAACACTTGTGGGTAAATCATAGTGAAACAGGGAGCAGGTGTGAACAGATAAAGTCACAATGCTGAGAATATTTGAGTGGGGAAGGACAAGTCTCAGATTGCTGGGCTAAGAGCAATCTCCTGTATCTGGCAGGAGATAAGAGGATAAGACTGAGTGCCCGGGAGGGGCTGGTGGCTGGGGAAGAGAAGGCATTGGCTGGAGAAGGGTTGGGGAGGGCTGCATCCCTGCTCCCTGTGGTACTCTAGTGTTCACCCCCTCAGACTTCCTTGAAATTCCTCACTCACCAGGCCTCCAGGGTGTGGCAAGAGGCTGTTCAATCCAAGCTCCTTCACTAGCTCCCGAATTATTTTCTCTCTTCCTGAATCTCAGCTTCTTCTTTGTTCCCAGAGGGTATCCCTTGGGACCCAAGAAGTAGGGACATTTCTGAATGTGCATGACTTTGCCGGGGGAGGCTATGTGAATGCTGCGGTTTTAGCATTCACCCAAAAGATGACCCAAAGATGCATGAGTCAAATCTTTGGAGGGACTCTTAAAAATTAGGTTCCCCTCCTTGTACACCTGACTTATGGGGGAAGTAAGGTGTTGGAGATGGGGAGTAAGGAAGGGACTTGATTGGAGTGGTACAATGAAGTGCAGAAGTAGGATTGGGGGCTGGGCACTGAGTTCAGGACTTGTTCCTGTCCCCCTCCGTCCATCTCCCAGTGGCAGTATCAGGGAGATAGTGTTCAAAGGGCTCTGTAATTGTAGCATTTCCCTCAGGGCTCCCTTCCTCACTTCCCCTCCTTTATCTGGGTTTCTCTCCCAAGAGTCCAGAGGTAGGTTTTGTGTCTGCCTCTGTGGCAGGCTGACCTCCACTTGGCTTCACTGGAAACTGAGAAGGATTTGAGGCAATGTGCTCCCTTCACACCTGTGTTTGTCCTTTGCCTGCTGGAGAGCAGGGCTCAGGGTTCAAAAGGTGTCTATAGCTGGGAGCTCTGGAGCTCCATGGTTGACTGCCTTAATGAATGGATGGGTAGATGGGTTGATGGATGGATGGCAGTCTAATGGATGCAGAGACAGCTAAATGGATGGATGCATGGGTGCATGGATTGGATGAGTAATTTCTTCCAGGCATCACAGCCAAATTTCCCAGCCATAGCAGTTGTTTTTGCAAATTATCACCATCCCACCCATTCCTTGTGACTCTAAGACCTGGGATATCTGAGGTTTTGAATACCTACTTCTGGAAGCAGAGGGCAGGAAGAAGCTGCTATGATTTCAGCTCAGTGTGGAGGGGCTGGCACAATCCCCTCACCACTGCTCCACTTTCCAGGCTACCCAGGCCTGGTTTTGTTGCCAGATGAGGAATATCTGGTACAGTGATGACCCTTCTTCTCGGGTGATGATGCTCAGTCCATTGTCATAGCTACCATCCAACCTCAGCATCACAGACTTGCTGCTCTCAGTGGGACAGTCCCTTAGAGGCCATAGTTGGAGACCAGCAGCTTCCTCAGGGGACATCGCAAGCATAGGGGTTCATTCCTCCCAGAGCAGCCCTGTAGTATGCTCCAAGAGTCACAGGGCTTTCATCTCTCAAAGAGGAGACTCCTTTATAACTCCCTGGTCTTAGTGTTGCCTTGGACCTGGTGCCCACATGGGCTGCAGAGGTAGTGGTGGATTCCTCCATGCTGAATCTCCCTAGCTCCCTGGCTACTCCTTCTTCCACTTGCTGGGCCCTTTCCCATTCTGACTTCTGGCTCCCAGGTCTATCTATCCCACACTACCAGATAAGTGTGGCCCCAGGATTGCTCAAATGGGGCTGGTCCTGGCCCAGCCTGACTGAGTGAGAGAGGAAGGCTGGCCTGAAAGTCAGATTCTGTATGGGCATATGGACACTCACTGCTGGCTGTTGAGCCTTTCTTCACATATTTATTCATTTTCTAGACAAATATTTATTGAGCGACTATTTTGTGCCAGGCAGTATACTGGACACCAGGGAGACAGTGGAAACCAAAATAGGCATCATCCCTATCCAGGAAGGCTGACAAACTATCAGTTATAACTCAGTGTGATGAGTACTGCAAGGGGAGAGGAGCAGGGCTCTCTGAAGACTTGGGATGAAGGGAGGCTACCCAACCCAGCCTAGAGTCAAGGAAGGCCTCATGGAGAAAGAGTCATTAAGAACCAGATGGGAAGGTAGGTGAGCCAATGAGAGAGAAGAGTGTTCCTGACAGAGGGAATGGCATGGCTGTTTGGGTACTTTCCCCCCAGATAGTAGAGCTGGGCCCCTTCCTGCCCCTGGCCATGAGAACTGGTTCTTCATAAGCCCCTTCCCGCCCTGGTGAAACCTGATCCCTGAGACATCTGGATACTTTGCCTTGGAGAGCAAAGACTGGGAGGCGTGAAAGAGTTTGGCTCAATAATTGAACAGACACAAGTTTGAGTGTCACAGTGCTGTGAAGAGACATGAGGTGGGGGCCCTGATTGTGGGAGTTGATCCTGAAAACCCAAGGTATTAAGTAGGAGTCCATGAGAAGATTGCTTATGTTGCAGAGTGAAAATTAGATCTTGCCATTCCATCTCCCTATTTCCTATCCTGGTCCTCTTGGACAGAAAACAAACAGCAAACAGACAGATCCATGGGTACCAGTTGGGCTTTATTGGAAGCATTGCAGTCTGGGTGTGGAGGAGAAGCTGTGCTCCTGCCACACTCATGCCTGCTCACACTCACACTCACATTGACACTGCAGGCCCTGTCCCAGCTGGGTCAGGTCTGGTACAGAGTTGCTGGAGGCCTGATCCTCCCTTTTGGTCCTTGGTTCCCCAGGGCTGCAGTGATTCATATCCCCTCACTCAGACACAGGGCTCCCTCTGGGGCTGTCATGGGTTAACTGCTGTGGCGCTTATTCTAGGGGAGGAAGAAGAGTCAAGGTCATGGGCTGGGGTCTTGGGCAAGGACTCTGAGGGAGGAGGCAGGGCTGGGGAGGGCTGGGCTTGCCTTTGCAGTGTTCTTCTGCAGTCTCCGGATGATGCGGTCCACCCAGGGCTGGTCTGGGGGTGCACAGAGCTGGTGACCTCTCAGTGTGGTGAACCTAGAGTCACAGGTCAGTTATCAGAAACAGTGGAGCCCTGGAACCCAGATCTCTGGTAGGCCCTGGTGTGAGGGGCAGGAAGATGTGGGGACCACATCTGGGAACCAGTTTCAGGCGCTTACTTGAAGAGGTTGGGCTTGGCAAGGAGAAGAGAGATAAGATGGTGGGGGTATCACCAATGGCTGATGGGGGAGAGGAGGCTGAGGCTAGACAAGTCCCTCCCCACAACTCACACGACAGCAGGCACTCTACAGCCATCCTGGATGAGGAGGTAATGAAAGGCCCGCACGATATTCCCAGGGATGGGGCGCTGGGTTACAGACAGGCAGCAGTCTTCAGCATCATTGGCACCACCCAGAGCTGGGATATGGGAAAGAAAGTAGTGTCAGGGCATAGGGACCCTGAGGAAGGGAGGCCGTAGATAGCCCTAACTGAGGTTAAGGACACACGTCTGTGTGTGTAGGCAGCTAAATCAGTTATTCAGCTGGTATATATCAATATGGCCCTAGTGGTTGCTAAATATATTGAAGTACTTCTAAGCTGTTTGGTAAACAACCACTGCCCTAGGCCTCATAAATGCCTTTCTCTGCCCTGATCATCCCAACTTCTCTTCCAGGACCTCTCAACTGCTGCATCAATGAAGAGTTGATGCTGTTCACAGCACGGGGGTGGGGAGGGGAGGTGGGGAGTCGGGGGTGGGGAGTAGCAGGAGGCTGGGGTTAGAGGACTTATGAATTGTTAAATATTTTGACTACTAGCCCTGTCTCCCATTCTCTCTCCTGTAAGCAAATATATACTGTTTTCTCCTGTCTGGGAAACTGAGGCAACAGGAAACAGGCTTCAGAGAGAAGGTAGCCATAGGCCTTGGGATACACCAAGAGACAGACAAACATTGGAATTCAGGGGCCCAGGCACTCACAGGCACACACACAGGCACACACACAGTCACACACACAGTGTTCAAGGAACCTCCGGATTCACCCAAACATGGAGACCTAATTCAGTGTCCCCACATCCAGCATCAAATAGTCTGACATTTAGACACCCCCACCCCCTGTCCCCAGGGCTTACCAGGAGAGGTCCAGAGAATCAGCAGGCTGAGGGTCAGTAGTGCAGCTGCAGGGGATGCCATGGAGGGTGAACAGAGGCAGACCAGCAGTGAGCGGGAGTACGGGTGAATCTCTGGGGTTGTGCAAGAGTCTGTGTGACACTCAAAGTTGGCTGGGAGTGGGAGGGAGCAATGGGAAGTGCACAGGAGTCCTTGTGCGATGTGAGGGGGTCTGGGAATGTGAGTGCGAAAGCCTGTGTGAGGCTGCGACTGCCTCCTATTTATGGCTTGGAACTTTCACTTTCCCTGCTCAGAAATTCCCCTCCACATCCATTCCGTGGATTCCCCTCTGCCCCCCTTTTTCTGACAGAACCTGACCCTGCCCTCCCTTTTCCCGCCTCAGTAGCTTCCCTGCTCTTCTGCTTTCTTTGGCTTCATCTCGGAGAAACTAAGCAGTCTGCCGTCTCGCCAAGAGAAGGGACCTTGCAATGTCAGCTCCAGATAGAGGTTCTCCATTATTGCATCAGTGGCATTTGCATCATTAACCATGGCTTTCAGTGGTGATAGTCAGGATTGGGGTGGGGTGCAGACTGAGGAGTTGCATACCCTTCCCTAGCCTTATCCCTCATTTTCACTCTTGTCTCTGTGGTTATTCTCTCTGGTATGGGTGGTGGTGAGGAATGCTTCTCTGGTGCTCTCAGAACAACCATGGAGCCTGGGGTAGCCTCCTAGTGCCTGCCCATCCATTATCTGGGAACCAGTCCCTTCCTTGGGAGAAGTATAGTTGAAAGGGAATTTCCTTGGGAGGATGCCCAGCACCTATCCCACATCTCAGGCCTCTGGGATTCGACTTCCTGGCTCAGCCAGCACTGCCCCTTTTCTCTTTTACCATGTTCAGATGTTTAACACTTGGGTCAACAGAACAGCTGGAGGGATCCTGGCCTGGAATAGCCCCCTTCATCTTTCCCCTCCTCTCAATCCTGGGAACCAAGAGGGGATTTTTAGGGAGAGGTACTGGTCAGTTCATATTCAGACAATCCCCAAATTTCAAGGAATCAACAGATGGAGCAGGGGACAAGTGATTTCCCATCTTTATGAGAAAGGCCAGAGATAGATGAGAAGAGAAGGACTCAAAAGGGAAATTAATATGGGAACACCCATTCAAAGATCCCACTGAAGTTTTAGACCCTCTTTTGGATTGGGGAGGTGTTTTCCTCATAAGTTTCTAACTTATCTTTCTTTCCATACATTAGTAATAATAATAGTAACAGTATTTCTAATTGTTTACTACACGCTAGGCTCTCAGTCAAGGACTTGATTTTACTAGCTTCCCCAACAAAAAGTGTGAAGTAATTTTTATTATTATCATATTATTATTCTGTTTTACACATAAAGAAAATGAGGCTCAGAGCACAAGGTCACATGGCAAGTAGGTGTCTTGTACTTACGGGTCTTTTGCTCTAAGGTTTACACTCTTTACCACTATCGCACACTGCCTGTCTGCCAACTGTCCATTGATCATAGAACAGTACAGATGAGTGAGACTCTACAGATAGAATGCTTTGGCTGGGACTCAAATTCCATCACTTGCTAGCTGTGTCACCAAGTGCAAGTTCTCATGTTCTTGTGTCTTTTATTTTTTTGAAGTCAGCGTTTTCATTTTTATTCTCAAATTTTTATTTAAATTCTAGTTAACATATAATATAATGTTGGTTTCAGGAGTAGAATTCAGTGATTCATCACTTACATATTAACACCTAGTGCTCATCGTAACAAGTGCCCTCCTTAATACCCATCACCCATTTAGTCCATCACTCCACCCACCTCTCTCCATCAACCCTCAGTTTGTTCTCTATTGTTAAGAGTCTCTTGTGGTTTGTTACCATCTCTCTCTCTCCCACCCCATATGCTCATCTGTTTTGTTTCTTAAATTCCACATATGAGTGAAATCCTATGGTATTTATCTTTCTCTGATTGACTTACTTCGCTTAGCATAATACACTCTAGCTCCACCCACATCATTGCAAATGGTAAGATTTCATTCTTTTTGATGGCTAAGTAATATTCCATTGTATATATATTCCACATCTTCTTTATCCATTCGTCAATCAGTGGACATTTGAGCTCTTTCGATAGTTTGGCTATTGTTGGTAATGCTGCTATAAACGTCAGTGTGCAGGTACCCCTTCAAATCCGTATTTTTGTATCTTTTTGGTAAATACCTAGTAGTGCAATTGCTGGATCATAGGGTAGTTCTATTTTTAGTTTTTTGAGGAACCTCTATACGGTTTTCCAGAGTGGTTGGCTGCACCAGTTTGCATTCTCACCAACAGTGTAAGATGGTTCCCTTTTCTCCACATCCTGGCCAACATCTGTTGTTTCCTGAGTTGCTAATTTTAGCCATTCCTTTAGGTGTGAGGTGGTATCTCACCATGGTTTTGATTTGTATTTCCCTGATGATGAATGATGTTGAGCATCTTTTCATGTGTCTGTTAGCCATCTGGATGTCTTCTTTGGAAAAATGTCTATTCATGTCTTCTGCCCATTTCTTAACTGGATTATTTGCTTTTGGGTGTTGAGTTTGATAAGTTCCTTACAGATTTAAGTACTAACCCTTTATCAGATGTGTCATTTGCAAATATCTTTTCCCATTCTGTAGGCTGCCTTTTAGTTCTGTTGATTGTTTCCTTTACTATGCAGAAGCTTTTTATCTTGATGAAGTCGCAAAACTAATTTTTGCTTTTGTTTCCCTTTCCTCCAGCAATGTGTCTAGTAAGAAGCTGCAATGACTGAGGTGAAAGAAGTTGCTGCTTGTGTTCTCTTATAGGATTTTAATGGTTTCCTGTCTCACATTTAGGTCTTTAATCCATTTTGAATTTATTTTTGTGTATGGTGTAAGAAAGTGGTCCAGTTTCATTCTTCTGCATGTTGCTGTCCTGTTTGGAAAACTGTTTGTTGAAGAGTCTTTTTTTTTTTTTTTCCATTGGATATTCTTTCCTGCTTTGTCAAAGCTTAGTTGACCATGTAGTTGTTCCTCCATAGGTGTTCCTGTGTCTTAATATCCTTCTGTATAAAATAGGAATGGTGCTAGATCTACTCCTTAGGGCTAAGTGAGGTAATGCAAATAATGTCCTTAGTTTAGAGGCTGGCTCGTAATAAACACTCATCAACTGTTAACTATTGTTATTATTCTATCCTTCATTCAGATATATGTCAGTTCATCTATCTATTCATTTTCCATTGATCTATGCATTCTTTTGCTTATGGTGGTTTGGGTTATGCTCTGTCGTCCCACCCTCATCCACTCTCCACTCTTCTCTACCCTGCTCTGTTCTCTGGAAGGCTGACCTGTATACACTGAATTGCCCTCCAGCTTCTGTTTTAGTTTGGTCCACAGGAGGCAGCAGCAGGAGATCAGTGGGTGGTAGGAGAGAGAGGTTAATTCCCTAGATCCTTCATTTTGCTGCAGTCCTGGCAGTGAATAATTTTCTTTCTGGTAGTTGTTCTCAAAGAGTGGTCTTCAGACAGCAGCATCAGCCTCACCTGGGGGCTTGTTAGAAATGCAAATTCTGAAGTTCTATTCCAGACCTACTGGAATAATCTGTATTTTAACACACCTGTAGGTGACTGATACATGCTGGAGTCTGAAAACCACTGATCTATAGTTATAGATCCTTTGGGGCTCCCTCCTCTCTATGGGTCTCTCTGTAAGGCTCCTGAAACACTGTTCCCTCTTCTTGCCCCTTCAGGCTTTGGTATGGTAATGGTTTCCCACTATTGCTAAACCTTGGGTGCCTCACTGTCCCATGTTGGTTTCTTAATCTCACCTCACCCCTTAAATAGCTCCTTTATTAAAGTCTTTCTGGTTAAAATTTTTTGAGTGTGCCACCTGCCAGGATCCTGATTGATACAGTAAATGGTACCAGAAGAGATCCAAGGAAATAGATTCCCACAATGGGATTCTAGGATTGGGCCGCTCAAATGTTTGATGAGTCACAGATAATCCCTTTACATGGGTAAAGAAGACACTAAGTAATCTGAAGCACGAAGAAACATCACAGTCACTTGGATTATCACCACTGAAGTATAGGGTGTAATGTTGGTGGAGGGCAAGGCATTAGGAGATAAAAATGACAGAGGTACTTAATTACTATGGCCACAAATGGGATTTCAAATGGTGATTACATATATAGTTGAATGGGCTGCCTGTTTGTGATAATGCTAGCAAAATTATATTTAAAAAAAAAAGGTGAGGGATGCCTGGGTGGTTTGGTTGGTTGAGCATCCAATTCTTCATTTGGGCTCAGGTCATGATTTCACAGTTCGTGAGATTGAGCCCTGTGTTAGGGATTCTCTCTTTCCCTCTTTCTCTGCTCCTCCCCTATTCTTGCACCCCACCCGTACCAAATAAATAAATAAACATTTTAAAAAAGGGTGAAAAGATATCATGAACTTCTTTTTTTTTTCTTTTTAACTTATTTTCTTTTTTATTATAATTTTTAAAATTTACATCCAAATTAGCATGTAGTGCAACAATGATTTCAGGAGTAGATTCCTTAGTGCCCCTTACCCATTTAGCCCATTCCCCCTCCCACAACGCCTCCCGTAACCCTCAGTTTGTTCTCCATATTTATGAGTCTCTTCTGTTTTGTCCCCTTCCCTGTTTTTATATTATTTTTGTTTCCCTTCCCTTAAGTTCATCTGTTTTGTCTCTTAAAGTCCTCACATGAGTGAAGTCATATGATTTTTGTCTTTCTCTGACTGACTACTTTCACTTAGCATAATACCTTCCAGTTCCATCCACATAGTTGCAAATAACAAGATTTCATTCTTTTTGATTGCCGAGTAATACTCCATTGCATATATATACCACATCTTCTTTATCCATTCATCCGTTGATGGACATTTGGGCTCTTTCCATACTTTGGCTATTGTTGATAGTGCTGCTATAAACATGGGGGTGCATGTGTCCCTTCAACACAGCACACCTGTATCCCATGGTTAAATTCCTAGTAGTGCAATTGCTGGGTCGTAGGGTAGTTCTATTTTTAATTTTTTGAAGAACCTCCATACTGTTTTCCAGAGTGGCTGCACCAGCTTGCATTCCCAGATACCATGAACTTCTAACTCAAAGTATGGGTGGAGATCCAGATAAACTCTATGGAATTCTTAAGAAATATTTATTGTATGTGATCACATGACAGATGTGGCTGAGGATCAAGCCCAAGACCTGATTGTATGGGTTGTAGAGTTGTAACACCAGGTAAATGCACAACCTCACCATACCTGATGCTAGGGTGCTGTTGGAAAGGAGCAGGATTCTGAGA